GATACTCATTACGTGTTACCAGTGTTACGTGACTTCCGGTGTCGTAACACTACCTTGTCTCATTGGATTATACTTTTTTAAGCCAAAAGAAACTACCCTAAACTTTTTCACAAATGTTCTTGAATTAAATAAGCCATCTGTTAGGCGTGACTTCCAGGTAGAAAAGTACTAATCGAAAAAATGTAGTGTTCAGATTTAAAGAGTAAAGACTTTGAACAATTAAAATAACTTGTATTAAAATATGCAGATATATCTAACAATAAGCCCTTAGCCTGGCCTCATAGATTTGTCTGAACATAGTATTGTAACCACCAGTGAAAAGCCAGTGTTTAGTAAACGTTATCTCTATTTTCCCACTAAATTACAAGTGCCACATGATCGAGTGGATGAAAAGCTCCGTGATAGGTTAACTGAGCTCTCCATTTCTTCTTAGGCTTCTCCAGTTGTTATTCTTAAGAAGAAGACTAATGATTTTGGATCCTGTGTGGTCTATATAAAATTATATCAAGTCACATGAGATTTAACCTCGTGGTCTAACAAAGAAGTAAAAACACTGCCTTGATCTTAAATGAGTTAGTTCACGAAATGTAGTTAGAAAAAATTATTGCTGATTGTTGTTCGATATTGATCTCGAAGTGATTTAATTTTCGAATATTGTGTTTTTTCGAAATTAGTTTTTCTTCTGATTCTTTTTCCTAATTTCTTTAAATTAATAACATTGATAATTATTGTTACGACATCGAGGTCACGTGACTAGTATCACGCCAAGTCATTCTCGAACCTTCATGAATTGTCGGGAGATTACTAGATATAGTGTAGTCTTGTATATATAAGACTGGCCACGAAGCGACGGGAAGACATTGTGTAATTGAACTGAGTATTGTCGAGCACGAGCACGTGAGACGTTCTATCGTTTGTTATAGAGCGACTGTTGAAATTAAATGTATCGGTAAAGTTGTATTCGGAAAGAATAAACCAGTTTTATTTAAGAAAGGACTTGTGTCGCTAAAGTTTCGTTGGAACGAATTTACGGAAAATTAATTAACGAACGAACGGAGATGTAACATTATGTTATGTGGCTGTTAACGTTTGTATCAAGTCCTAACCAGGCACGTATTTATTAACTTTGGTTATAGGTGATAAAATTTGTATACCAATTGTTTGAAAGTTTTATTTGGATTTCTGTTGTTGTTGTTACAGATTGATAAATTGTTTTTGTTTGAACCTGGTTGAAGCGTCGCTTTGTTTTAGTCCATCTCCTACCATGGTGAATACTTTCGTAAAAAGTTTTGAAATCTTGATTATTTTCAGTTTTCATGACAAACATATTTTAGTAGGTGAAACATAACTACAGCACAAAAGTTTTATTCAAAAGAGTGAAAAATGTAGCATTTTCAAAGTATATCGGATCTATTTTTTCAACGTGATAATACATATTCTTCGCCTGACGCGAATCACGAACTCCCGCCAAATTGACATGTATTTCTACTATTGCATCCGAGGGATTTTTCAGGGTAACCAAACGGCTGAGAAATGTTCTGTTACGTCTCCGTTTGTTAATTGATTTTCCGTAACTTCGTTCCGACGAAACTTAAGCGACACAAGTTCTTTACTTAATAAAAACTGGTTTATTCTTTCCGAATACAACTTTACCGATACACTCAACTTCAACAATCGCGCTAAACAAACGCTATTACAACGAACGTGCTCAATAATACTTCTGACTGCA